ACATTTACTTAAAATGTGGCATGTAAAAATATCCCCTTACTATGTGTGAGAAAAAAAATGCATTCACAAAAAAAAAAAAAAAAAAAGAAAGAAAGCAGCTGCAGGAACATACTGATCACAGCAGCACCGCCACGATTCTTTAAATTCTCTGTGAATGTAAAGACGGGAAACATGCTTCTCCATTGCTTTCCTTCCTTTTAAGGCCATTCTTGGGACCTTATCTATCTGTCCTGCCAAGATTAAACACCCAGAGAAAAAAAAAAAAGAGAGGGAGATTTCTCAGAGCGGCACTACACAGCGCAGGGTCAGTTCTGCCAATGCAAAAGCGTACGACTCTGGCTCTATCAACAAGCTAACACGCACATGGTTAGGGCTGCAGCTGCCTGGTGAGCTGAGGGCTGCTAAATATAAAAAGGCTCTGAAACACACATGCGCCCTGAGATGCGCGCGCATGCATGCATGCAACGGCTGTTTTCATGGAGCCCCACCACCACCACCTCAAAGCTGCACGCCCCATGACGAGACTGAGCTGTGCACATTACTCAAACTGACTGCTCTGATTACTGTTTTGAGGATCTAAGGGGACTGGGTGTGCGAGCACATGCAGCCTCATAGCGTCTGGAGGTACGGCAGGCTTTAACCCACTGTGTGGAGTCAGGCAGTTTTTTTAGGGTCTGAGAAGAAGAGAGAGAGAACCTCCTGCTGCGATTTTGGAAGATGATTTGTTTAACAAGAAAATGCATATAGGTCAAAAAGACGATTTATTTAATGTGACTGTTAAATGTTTTTTTAGATTCAGTAGGATTATTAGCTCTGAATTTATAGGTGGAGAGGTTGTGCCTGGCTGAAAACAAACCCCAAACAAACAGGAAAGAGTGTGGGAGGTATATCTACACACCAAAGGGTAAAAGAATGCATAAAGGTTGCAGACTTTTCGATTTAACAGGGCATAGAAATGCTAAAATGGGTGAAAAAAATTAAAAATAAGTGAGATTCATTTTTCATGAAATGGTGTGTTACAAAAACCATGAAGTCAAACAGGCAGCAGTAGCTACAGTCTAAGTTTAACCCTGCCTCCTGACGCCTTTTCACCTAAATTACCTCTTGACTCATTTAAACATTAAATGATTGGGGTTTTAACAGTTGAACCACACCAAACTGTGACTAGACAGGTTTAGAGCAAATGTTCATGGTGCAGTTAAAGCGGCAAATCCTTCACAAGAGGCAAAGTTGCATCGCAAACCACCTGAAAAAAAAAAAAAAAAAAAAAAAAAAAAAAAAAACGAGCATCTTTCTGAGGCAAAGCTAAATGTCATCACGGCTTTGTTTTGTTTGTTTTTTTGTTTTTTTTTTATCATGTGGCAAACCGTGCACCAAAAGACGCCGAGAAGCAGCGTAGCAGCCTTTTCTGAAAAACCAAACAACGGCCAGAGGAAGAGGGTGATGTTTGTAAAAAGGAAGAGGGGGGAAAACACCCTGCAACTAAAACAGCTGGAAACAGGAAATGACTTTTTCTGTCTTCTCAGTGTGTGTGCTTTTGTTTGTGTTTATTTCTCTCTTTTTATTTTTTATTTTTTCCTGGGAGGGGGTGGGGGTACATGCAGCTTTCTCTGGCAAGATTACATTAACAAACCCTTACAGGGTTTCTGCGGGTTTTCCATCCTATTTACACAACCAGATCTGGCAGGTTTATCTCACACAGATATGAAACACAAGATGAGGAACCTGACAGATGCTAAATGGGCTTTGGTGGCATGCACTTCTGAGAAGTACAATGACTTTTGGAGAAATACCAATGCATTATCTGATCAAGCAAAGTCCTGTGAAAAATCTGTACTGAGAAAATCACAATCAATTATCAGATAGAAAGATGGCAAACCCTAAAAGTGGTGTGCTGTTTTTAAACACCTGCATGTTAACCTTAAAACCATGTATAGAGAGCAAAAACAAAATCACCTTTGCATTTAATTTAAAAGGAAATATATATATATATAAATATCTTGTTTCTAAGCTAGTAGGCTAAACCAGAAAAAGGTTGCTAGATGCATTTTTGAGGAAGAAAAACAGCTGGACGACATTTACAAGCAGACTTAATCTCAGAGCGATATTTCGGCTTCATTTCCAAGGAAAAGGAACCAGCTGATTGGTCGTGATCACTCTTGAACAGACGCGTTGGCTTGTTCCACAACTTTTTTCGGAAAAGCTCGAAACCACCTGCAGCAAGTGTGAAAACCCTCAACATGCATTTCAGTAAGAAAACACATCTGATTGTGGAAGTGGGATTTCCTGGCCGTCCCTCATTTTCATAAATGTTTTACTGTAAATTACAAAGTAAAGATTTCACAGTTAGCCAATTGCTGTAGTCTGACCACAGCCCTGAGAGTTTCCACATCTCTTTTTTTTTTCAAAAGAAAACCTTCGAGCTAACAAGATATAGAGAGGACTTCCTTTTTTAATGTAGCATAGAATATTATTTAAAGTTTCACACCTTCCCTAACTTTTTTTAAGTTTCTCTTTTACTCCGTTTACTCAGTTAACCTTAAAACAAGTCCTGTCCTAGTTGGGATGCAAGTTATCAATTAATGACTTAATCTAAAGTTAAAACAGCATTGCACACATAAAACTAAAGTGAATACTATCTCTGTAACTGTATCTGTATGACATCATTGTAAGAAGAAGTGTCAGCATCATTCATCCGATATCCGATCCAAGTCGTAGATCTTATACAATTAATAATTATACTTTACTAATCTCACACTGAAGAAATTGACCTCTGCATTTAACCCAACCCCTTGGGGAGCAGTGGGCTGCCACTGTGCAGCACCCGGGGAGGGTATTGCTCAGGGACCCAGAGTTGAAGTCTGTGGGAGTGGGGCTTGAACTCAGAACCTCTGGATTCCAAGTGCAATGCCCTAACCACTAGGCCGTCCCTACCCAGTTGGGGTCCATCACTAGCTGGTAACAATGCAGAATCTGGACAGATCAACAGCTCAGGTGGAAGAATACAGGTGCTGGTCATAAAATTAGAATATCATGAAAAAGTAGATTGATTTCAGTAATTCCATTTAAAAAGTGAAACTTGTATATTATATTCATACATTACATACAAACTCATATATTTCAGATGTTTATTTTGTTTAATTTTGATGATTACAAATGACAACAAATGAAAATCTCAAATTCATCATATCAGAAAATTAGAATATTACTGAAGACCAATAAAAACAAACGATTTATAGAAATGTTGGCCAACTGAAAAGTATGAACATGAAAAGTATGAGCATGTACAGCACTCAGTATTTAGTTGGGCCTCCTTTGGCCTGTATTACTGCAGCAATGCGGCGTGGCATGGAGTCGATCAGTCTGTGGCACTGCTCAGGTGTTATGATAGCCCAGGTTGCTCTAATAGTGGCTTTTAGCTCTTCTGAATTGTTGGGTCTGGTGTATTGCATCTTCTTCTTCACAATACCCCATAGATTTTCTATGGGGTTAAGGTCAGGAGAGTTTGCTGGCCAATTAAGAACAGGGATACCATGGTCCTTCAACCAGGTACTGGTAGCTTTGGCACTGTGTGCAGGTGCCAAGTCCTGTTGGAAAATGAAATCTGCATCTCCAAAAAGTTGGTCAGCTGCAGGAAGCATGAAGTGCTCTAAAACTTCCTGGTATGTGGCTGCGTTGACCCTGGACCTCAGAAAACACAATGGACCAACACCAGCAGATGACATGGCACCCCAAACCATCACTGACTGTGGAAACTTTACACTGGACTTCAAGCAACGTGGATGAAGTGCCTCTCTTCTTTTCCTCCAGACTCTGGGACCTTGATTTCCAAAGGAAATGCAAAATTTACTTTCATCAGAGAACATGACTTTGGACCACTCACCAGCAGTCCAGTCCTGTTTCTCTTTAGCCCAGGCAAGACGCTTCTGACGCTGTCTGTGGTTCAAGAGTGGCTTGACACAAGGAATGCGACAGCAGAAACCCATGTCTTTCATACGTCTGTGTGTGGTGGTTCTTGAAGCACTCACTCCAGCTGCAGTCCACTCTTTGTGAATCTCCCCCACATTTTTGAATGGGTTTTGTTTCACAATCCAGGGTTATCTCTCTTGCTTGTACACTTTTTTCGACCACATCTTTTCCTTCCCTTCGCCTCTCTATTAATGTGCTTGGACACTGAGCTCTGTGAACAGCCAGCCTCTTTAGCGATGACCTTTTGTGTCTTGCCCTCCTTGTGCAAGGTGTCGATGGTCGTCTTTTGGACAACTGTCAAGTCAGCAGTCTTCCCCATGATTGTGTAGCCTATAGAACTAGACTGAAAGACCATTTAAAGGCTTTTGCAGGTGGTTTGAGTTAATTAGCTGATTAGAGTGTGGCACCAGGGGCCATCAATTTTGAACCTTTTCACAATATTCTAATTTTCTGATATGATGAATTTGAGATTTTCATTTGTTGTCATTTGTAATCATCAAAATTAAACAAAATAAACATCTGAAATATATGAGTTTGTATGTAATGTATGAATATAATATACAAGTTTCACTTTTTAAATGGAATTACTGAAATCAATCTACTTTTTCATGATATTCTAATTTTATGACCAGCACCTGTATGTGGACAAATCTACTATGCAGGAGAATTGCGGACTTTAGAGAATACGGGAAAAAAGAGAGACATTAAAACTGACTGACCATGAACTGTTTTCCATCTCTGAGCTGATAGAGGAACATCCCCAAAGACCTGCAGCTCTACGAGCAGTGCAACATTGTTCCTTAATAAATTGACTAAATTCAAATAATTTCATGTCATACAAAACAAAAAACATGTTTTCTTTACCATTCTAGAGAAAAAAAAGCCAATACCCTACATGGGTTAAATACATTGTACATGGCTGTAAAGTGTCAAATGTAGAAAATTCAAGCAATATAAATCTTAGTTAAAGGGAACATATAACATGTGATGAAGACAGAAGCTGAAAATGTAGCTGGGAATGTAAATCCTACCTTTGGGGGATCGTACAGCTCCAGCTGGTACCTCTCGCTTCCTGCTCTGCCCCCTCCACTTTGAGTGTCTCTGATCCTCCTGACCAGCAGGCGGCAGCGTTGCCAGTGGGGCAGAGAGTCCGAGATAGTGTCATCCACCAGCAGGTACTTGAGTTGGCCCTCCTTGCAGCAGCCGCTCACTTCCGGCCTCCTGAGCCTCATGCTTCTGCTGCGTAACCAACGAAAACCCTCCAGGAGGTGCGAGACCACTCTGGGTCGATGTAAGGCACCCGGGGAGGTTGCTTCCAAGTTCTGTGAGGGGAATGAGTGGGACAAAGAGCATGAGCCTTCCTCCACTCTGTCACCGTTGTTCAGGGTGCTGTTATTGGTGGTGGTGGGGTTGGGGTTGCTAAGAGACAGGTCCTGGGAAGAGCAGGGACTGTGGGAGTGCCGTTTTTGGAAAATCCGTTGTACTGTCTTTTGAATCTGGCTGACAGGGAAATGCGTGATGTCGCTGTGTGCAGAATTTGACGCCAAAGAGTCCGAGGAATGTCGCTCAGGTGGCTGATGGCGATCAGTGGCAGAGATCTCATCGCTGCTGTGGCTTTGGATCAGCAGCGACCCCCCGCTAATACTTCTAGACCCCGAAAAGGAGTTTCTTGCTGCACATCTCAGCGGCTGCTCCTGCTCCCGACTGACCAACACCGGCTCCACTTTTGGCACCACAGATATCGACGCGGCTCCTATGCTCGGCCGCCCCGCCTCCCGGTAATCCTGTGAAAGGGACGAGATCCGCAACTGGCTGATCACAGCATGAGGTGAGGGAGAGGAAGAAGCTGTTGCGGATGCGCTTCCGGAGGCAATCGGGCATGAGCCATGGCCGAGTGGACTGCCATCTTTGTCGACTTCGCAGCAGAAGTGGTGCTGGAAGAGGTCGGTAAAGTGCTTGGAGAAAGTCTCTGGTGGGACCAGCTCATGCTGCGGGCGCTCACTGGCAAAGCTCCGGTAATGTCCAGCCAGCTGTCGGGCTGTTGCGATGGCATGCAGCTCACAGAACTCCCTCCAGCCTCTGGGTGGCGCTGCTACACTTGGACCTCCTCCTGCTGAAGTGGTGTTGGCTGGATGGATAGTGTTACCATTCATTGCAGAAACCAGACTGGCAGAGAATCACTGCTGACAGACAGAACAGGTTGCAGAGAAAAAATAAATGATTTAGTTGAGGGCAGCTTGAGGTCAACTAGAAAAAGGGTTTCAGCCATACAGATTTATCCTATAATTTTACTCTTTTTACAGTAAAATATTGAAGATAGTCAAAGTATTTTCAGAATGGGCACAGATGAACTGAATAAATCCAAACCTTGGTCTTCTAATAATAAAACTTTCCTTTACTTCCCTTCTTTCCCCATATGCTCAAAAGGTGGACATGCTAGTTTCAAATCAGTGCCCTGCTGAATAAGAAGTATGCTGAGGGTTAATGTCACAAACTGATGGGCACCAGTTTCCTTCAAGATTTTCTGCAATGGGTCAGAAATCATGGTCAAATCAACAATGCTGAGGGGTACTTATAACTTTCTATTCCACTCTATTTCTAGGAAGCTAGTTATTACTGGTTCTTTTTGACCCGGCTTAGTTTTCTAATCCTCTGCTGCTGTTTTTCCCCTTCTTTAATTGCAACTGGTCACAATATGATTCTCACAAATTTCAAAGTTCATTTTTAGGAACGGGTATCCTGGGTGCCTTAGTTATCTTTCTTTTTTAACCCCCCAGGGTCAAATGATAGCTCATTAGCAGTTATATGCAGAACTTTGATATGCTGAGGAGGAGAAGAACTAAAACAAGATGGCAGTCCGTAGGTCTGAATTTGGACACCGCTGTTTTAGAGATTAGCATCTGAGGGCAGATATTATTTTATATATTTACTTAAGGCGTAAGTTGTTGCCATTTGTCCAAGTTGTTCAGTAAGAACCGTGTTCATGGCAGAGTAGTTTCTTTGTGGTAATAAATTCAACCGTAAATATGTATTCCATAGTGAACGTGTGAGGAGGATCAAGACTCTCCTGTTTTCTTTTTGGTTTGTTCTTAAATAAAAACAATCCTAAAAATAGCGGTCCTTATTTTTTGTGGCGTTTTTATGCTGAAGTTCTTAACAGATGGTGTAGAAGTTGTAGCAGAGTGGTTCTATGCATCAATATATCAGGTTTAAAAGTTACAAGGTTCTGTAAAATTCCAGAAACTGAATTGGGAATTGCTCAGGGTATCTTTGTCTGATATCAAAATTTGCTGGATATTCTTAAACATTGTGTGACAAGAAAGCAAAAACATCAGGAATCTGATTTTAAAGCATTTTTAAGGCATTCCAACGAAATCAGACAAACGGTAGGTGGTTTACATGACCCAGCACCTAGAAGAAAATTTTTGATTTACATTGAAAGGATTTAGCTTTTAGTGAAAGGCTGCAGGCGGACTTTATCAGCGCTCAGGGCCTGCAAAAAATCTCAGGCAATTACCCCCTCAAAGATCATTTTTGTAGATAAGGATGGCCAAAGTTCATTCAAATCTTAAAGGGCAGTGTGTTACCATTCATTTTCTGGAAAACCGGCTGAATGAATGGAAAACATATAAAAACATTTGGGTACAAGGAAATTAGAAACGTTGAACATGAGATGAAATAATGAGCTCTCAGTGGTTGCCGAATAAAATATTCAAACTATAATTGATGGTGATAGGTCAAACAGAGGGTGATTGAGGCCCTCACTGAGAAAGTACAGTTAAAAAACTTCTTAATCAACCACACTGCACGCAGAACCATCTGTGTTTCTGTATTGACATGTGACCCGTTTCAGTCTTCCTTCTGCTTTTTCACCTCCCAATGTGTCAGCGCTGCCTTACAGCAAGAAAACAGCAAAGCCACGACATGAACTAAAGCTATTTCAACAGTCTGATGTAAACCTTTAAAAAAAAAAAAACATTTTGGGTTCCTTTTTATCAAACAGCAAACAAATGACAAACTATTAAGCTACTACTACAAAGTCTAAATACATTAACTGATTTGTAGAGATAAAAGAAGACCCAATTTGTTCTTGTTTTACTTCTAACTAATTGTAAAAAAACAGAAACAGGTCAGAGAGAGAAGTTATATCTTCCTTTCTACAAAATAATTTACTCCACTTGGACAAATTATCATGTTCTTTAAAAGCTTTTTATACTCTAAACCTTTTTCCCACTTAATGACATTACAAAAATAAACCTTACAGTGGTTCATTTTATGTTCAGGGAGCACTGCATAACACCAGTTTTTTATGCAATGCATTGAATAGAATGCGTGCACCAACAGCGAAGCAATCGTACCATCCTTGCCAGCGCACTTCCTCGCAAACCTTTAAATTTGTGTAACTCAGTACCAACCAAGCGAGGACTTTAAAACAAATAGATAATTACTTCAAGAATTGATGTGATGCCACCCGTTAATCAATCACGGAGGCTCATCAGCGATTAACCAGTCAGTGATCGCAATTTTTCATAAAGAGAAAAACAGCCCTCCCCTTACGGCGCTGCAGCATCTCTCCCTCCATCATCATGCCCATGATTTTGAATTAGGAATGCATAGCAGATATTAAATTACTGTCCAAAAAGACTTCTAAAAAACGCTAATTGCTGTCGGCAGATAATCTTCAATTCAGATATGCATTACTCCAAGTGTTTAGAGGAAAGGAATACAGTTAATTGTATTTCCAAAACTGAAAAAGTGTCTTGGAACATGCAAAACAGCAGAACTAATAAACAGTTTAACCCAAGAGTAATCAATGGGAGCAACAAGCTGTTTGTCTAGACGATGATAAAGAACAATTCTTTGTTTTTTTTTGTCATATTTACATTGGTTGTTTAAGCCGGGCATACACTGTACAATTTTTTGCCCTTTTCAGGCAGATTCTCCCGTCGTGCCAGAATTTTTCGATTGGGCTGAGTTTCAGCCTTATCGTGCATCGTGTAGTGTACAGGGGGCAATGAGAGCCGATTAGCCTCTCACGACCACGTCCCGATCAAAGGTTGTAAGGTCAGGAGAAAATCAAACAGGTTTGAAATTCAGTCAGCTGTCGTAAGATCTCATCAGAGTGTTGGGCAGCAATGTGAAAACATGCATCATGAGCTGTGAACTTTTAAACCCTGCAGTTTTGTCATACAGTTTGAGCTGTAGCTGCGTGCAACGATTGAAAATGTCACACAATGCATGCTTGGCTGTAAATAGCTTGCATTGCACCAAGAGGCACAATTATAACAGCTTTAATTGTGAGGTCCTACCCAAAATACAGCTAACTTATGGTTATTACATCATGGTACCCAGCATGCAAATATCCAAGAACTACTTGGACCCCAATAAATGTTAGGTCAGCGGCATGAACAGAAGGGGTAGTAGCTGGATAGCCATATTCACTACTTAGTATCCATGCTTGCAATACACTTACACTGTTTAAACCAACCCAAAGTAACTTTTCAACCTCTATGTATTTGCATTACTTTTGTGATTTTATGTCGACTTACGGCTAGTTGAATACCACCTCTGTCATGGCCTGAGGGGATCAGGATCACGTTCACTGGCACTAAGTACCTTTGAGGAGGGTGGCAGGAACCCTGCCACAAAAGACAACTACAAACATGCGGACTATTTTAAAGCATATGTCACTTTCCCCTTTCCCCATTTGTTATAAAGATGGAAGTCGATGCGACTAATTTTCCTTGAGAGGCTGTGGCTGTGTCTGTACATCCACCCTAACCCCTACATGGAGCACTATATAGGAATGTCTAGTGGATGAAAAAGCAGTGCACTCAAATTTACCCACATTGCACCTTGAAAAGTGCAACCATGGTCACTAGATGAGCAGATATATCCCAGAATGCTTTGCGAGAGCTCTCCTCTGATCTTAAAACAAAAGTTTTGTAGAACAGCAGCAACTAAAATCAAACTTTTAACTTAATACTCTGAGCTCTATAAGCTGTACCCTGGAAGCTGCTGCTGCTCCCGCAATGCATGCTGGGACAGCTGGTGGAGAATGCACAAGTCTTCTCTGATGCAAGCGCAGTAAAGAGGGAGGGGCCGGAACAACATCTAGGGACTTTGTCCGTTCTCTGTCTTCTGTTCTTGTGACCTGGAAATGTGCTGGAGCTGAGGCTGATGACGTTTCACAAGCCCATGAGAATGCCCAAGTACACATATTGAGAAACAGCACAGGATTTTACCACACTATGGTCTATACCAAGCTGTACCTTATGGGATATGGGGTATTTCTTTATGAAAAATGCAGATGGCCACTCATAACGAGCCTGGTTCTGCTGGAGGTTTCTTCCTGTTAAAAGGGAGTTTTTCCTCTCCACTGTCGCTACAAGCATGCTCAGTGTGAGGGATTGCATCTGAGTCAATGAGTCGATGCAATCAACTGGTTTTCCTTAGATAGGGGTGAAATGTAAAGTGCCTTAAGATGACATGTGTTGTGAATTGGCGCTATATAAATAAACTGAATTGAATGCAAAACAATACAGCTTTATTCCACCAAAATCGACCTAATCTCAAACTCTTTTAGAACTGCTTTAATACTTTTAATTATGCACAGAAAGCTTTTTCTTTATCACAGCATTTGTATCTTCTTAAGTGACAGACAGCTGTACCTTAGGTGCACACGGGAGCAATATTGTAGATCCCTCCTCCCAGACTTTACAACAACCACTGCTCCCATCAAGTTTTTTACATCTCTGCTATGTTGGCAGTCTTTTCATTCTTGAAATTGCCCTAACATATCTAGTCATGATTTTTCTTTCATATCCAGATATGCTTAATTTCATCTAGCTGCTGGGATTAGTGGAATTCCCCACTGAGGAAAAATAAAGAGATATTTTTAGAGAAGATTTGATAATGAACTCCTTCAATAAGCCAGCTAAAAGGTCAATGATAAAGCTGTGGATAACTTTAAACAGGTTTGATCATAAGATAATATCCCAGCTTTTTAACATTACACAGTTCAATCCATTTTGTTTTAAGAAACAGGTAGCTCAACAAGAAATAAACCAACAGGTCGAGTGGAGAAGGTGGCACAATCTGAATGGCAAGAAAAAAGAAAATGGGTTGTAAGAAGGCCACAAGACATTTATAAAACCTATGTAGTGGACATTGCAAACGTGGA